ACATGGCACTGAGTTTTCGGTTGGATCCAACTCTGCCACTGGGATGCTTTCCCAAACAAATTTGGTGGGCACGTAGACAAATGTGTATAGAGGCAACTAGAGTAATGGGAGCTTCCAGTTTCTGTTCCTGTGACACTGGGTGGAGCCCTTAAAAATGAACAGTACAGTCCTGTGCATTTTTATGCAGACTATAGTCTTTTGAGATCACTGAGGCAGAGAATCAAATTGAGGTGTTATGAACAAAGAGAATGCTCTGTTTGTTGTAACTGTATGTGCCTTTTCTTGCGACTTCAAAATACGAGAGTGTGCCATAGTATCCACAACTCTTCCCAGCAGCTTTCTGCCTCCTATGCCTCTTCCTTTCATTCGTATCCACTTATTACTCCAATTATCAAAGAAGCAGCCCCGTTCCCTGTTTTACCCTCAGAGTGATCCTGTGAGGCACAGTATATTAAGTTGCACTTGGGATCTGACTTGCCACTAAACTGTACTGGCATGTTTCACTTAGGAAACTGAATCTTTTTCACTTACAGACTATAATAGAGTGAAACCAGTTACCATGAGCCAGTGTGATACATATTTTCAGCTTGATTTATCCTGAACTTGCTAAGTTTCTGTAGAATTCCAGTTTTAATGTATTGTACATTTCTCAAATGTTAATGTTTCCAAAAAGAAAAGTGGGACATCCTTATGGGAATGGAAAAGGGCATTCCCGTCACCCAGGAGAAGGTCAGGATGTGCTTTCGCTGCCTTGCATTCCCACATTTCTGCATCCATAAGAAGTAGAGCTGTGCTTTGTTTGTTTTCAGTGAAAGCCCAACATTCTTCGTCAGATTCTGCCAGATTTCATGATTTGAGATGTCAGGAAGATTACAGGCCTTTACAAGGGGTGAAAGCGTTGCATGAGTCAAAGATCTTCCAGTTGAATCCCAGAAACTCTTCCTGGGCTTAGAAACATAGTGGGGGCACCCACTGTTTACAGTATGGGATGACACACTCTCTCTCTTGCTGCGTGCCTAGCTGTCAGAGTGTCTGTGTTTTCCTGTTCCTCTGCCTCTGCCATCCTATGTATATACACACCGAGAGATAGAGAGCGAATACATTTTTAAAGCTTTTT